TCAAAATTAAAAAAATAACCAAATAAAGAGCCAGAGCCCTCACTGCCTACCATGGGACAGTTCTGGCTTGGAGACTAATGTGAATAGTTGTGTCTTGGTTATGTAAGAGATTCCGTGTTGTTATAAAGATGGCACACTGTCCTTGTCAAGTGGACACATTTTTAAGTGCTAAAAATGCTACATTTGTTTTGTTTTTGTTTTTACCACTGGACCACCATCATCAGAATAAGAGACAGAAGCAGAATAAGAAATACAAACAGAGTCTTCCCCATAGACATCATCTCACGTGACCCTGAGAAATGTGGGTACAGTCATCATCCCTACTTCACAACTGAGGAGACTGTGGGGAATTATGGGTTCTTTTCCAGCCCAGCAGCATCCACATAGCTTTCTTCCGGGATCAGCTCCCAGGTCCAATTTGAGGAGCACCACTGCCCTCATTGGAGGTAGTCTTGGAGGGGATGATGGTCAACGTGTGTTGACTAGCTAAGGAATAGACATATGATCCTAGTAGGGCAAGCATAGGCTTTCCTTGGAATTTTGATCTGTTGTGATTTTCCATCTGAGTGGTGAATCCAAATCTTCTCTGACTCCTGCCATTTCTGACCATAGTTCTTCAGCATGTCCTTTAGTTTTGAAAGTTACCCATGGGGTAATAATGGCCCACCAAAAGGTCCACTTCTTTATTTCCTGAACATGTGAATATGTTACCTTATATGGAAAAAGGTATTTTGCACATGTGGTTAGGTTAGGTATATTAAGAAGGGGAGATTATCTGCATGACTCAGTTAATGTTGTTGTTGTTGGAATTACGTGCTGTGAAGTCAGTTCCAACTCATCATGACTCTATAGCATTCCTGGGGAGCAGCTGGTGGTTTGAATTGCAGACCTTGCTGTTCAAATGACCTTGCAGTCCAATGATTATCTAACAGCACCACATCGGTAGGGCCAACGTAATCACAGGATTTTTATAAGCAGGGTTTTGAACCAGTTCAGTCTGGTTAGACTCCTGAGAATTTGCATTTCTATCTGGGGTGTTGCTGTATGATAAGCACTGGACTACAAACTGCAAGGTCAGTGGTTCAAACCCACCAGCCGCTCCTCGGAAACTCTAAAATGAATTGGAACTGACTCCGGGGTACTTAACAACAACCACCACCACTCCAGATACACTGAACCAGAATCTAGATCTACATTTTAACAAAGATCATAAGATTCACCTGAGAATCTATAAGAATCACCTAAGGATCTTGTTAAAATGTAGCTGCTGATGGAAATGCAAATTTATTACCGAAAGTCTGGTGGGAATGCAAATTTATATCAGGGAGTCAGACTGGAATAACCTGGTTAGAAGACTGTTTCTAAATGAAAGACGGAAGCAGGACAATCCAAGTTAGAATGATGGAGTGTACAAAGATTTGGCTGGCTGTTGCCTATTTGAAGATGGAGGGGAGCCATAAGCCAAAAAATGCAGATGGCCTATAGAATCTGGAAAAAACAAAGAGAATTTTTTTTTTCCCTAGAGATTATCTTCTAGTTTCTCCAGAAGAACTGCAGCCCTATTGGCGCCCTGACTTTAGCCCCGTGATACGCATTTCAGACTTCTGACCTCCAGAACTGTTGGATAATAGAGTTGTGTTGTGCTAAGTCACCATGTTTGTGATAGTTTTTTGCTTCAGTATTTGGAAACTAGGATCAGCACTGGACTGTGAACCACAAGGTCAGAAGTCCAAACCCACCAGCTGCTCCTCGGAAACTCTATACAAGACTGCTGTGAGTCAGAACCAGCTCGACAGCACTTAGCAACAACAATATGCCCAATCTCCCTCCAAGAAAATCCCTGTTTATTTGGTATAACTTTTGCTTAAGTAATCAAGAGTTGTTTATAACTGAAGACTAGAACTACTAGACAATTAACTTCCAAGTCTGACTACCCCTACCCCCCTCCCATCACCTTACTCTCTTCCCAGGACCTGAGTTTCTGTTCTGCCAGCCTACCTATCACCCTTTATTAGGATCTGAGCCCAGCTTAGTGATGGACCCTACACTGGACAACCTGACTCCCAGATGTTGACAGCCTCCTGACTGTCACCTGATCCACATTCTTTGTCTCTCCATTTATTCCATATACTAGGTCACCCTGATCCTTTTCTGCTTACCACTTGGCTAGATGGTGATTTGCTGTTGTCTTTCTTCCTTGTACACTGTGCTAGAAACAGGCTGAATCACACTGCGCACTTCTGCACCAGGGTCAATTCCCCCAGCACCTGTCAAACCCAGGAGGAATGGCCAATTTTAGAGTATAGTACTCATTCAGGGTCTCTGTGAGTTGGAACGGACTCCACAGCACATACCCACCACCACCACAGTTTGTTCAGCTGCCCTTTCCTGCTGCAAATCATGAAATGCAACACATTCTATAGATGCATGTAAGCCCAACAGTAGCACTACATTGGCAGAAACTGGGCTTATTTCAACTCAAAACTGGATTTCCTTTTTTAAAAAAAGTAGTGTCTGCCAAGTCAATTTCAACTCACAGAGAGCCCGTGCAACCAGAGTAGAACTGTGGTCCAAAGAGTGTTCAGTGGCTGAATTTCCAGAAGTAGGTCATTAAACTTTGCTTCTAAAGCACCTCTGGGTAGATTCAAAGCAGCCTTAACCATCTGCACCACACAGGGATTATTTCCTCTAAGAGCCCTCTAATTAATAAATCCTTTTCTCTAGGATGTAAAAATCACAAATTCTTTTTTTTTTTTTTTTTTTTAACTTTTTTATTGTGACTTCCGGGAGAAAGGTGAAGATGGAGAAAGGAGAACTATGAAGCTTTCACAAGCTGTCAGGGGGAAAGGTGAAGATGGAGAAAGGAGAAAGATTCATAGTTTCAGAAATGTTAATACAGAACTTTACTAGTCAGAACTCACTAAATGGCACACAGCAACAGCAAAACCATGGAAGTTGACCTTCATGAAAAGAAACAAAGCCCACAGATAATACGCAGGCTCCCTGGTCTTCTTGAAAGGAACAGAATTTAAAGGTACCGAACAGGTTCATCTCTTATTTGTTGACTTCATCCGGGAACAAATCAGTTCAGAACTTTACAAAAGAAAACTCAGTGTGTTTGTGTTTCCCGAGGTTATCTGTCATTCCAACAGGTTCATAAGCCTTGGAAGAGGTGCAGAGAAACCAGTTGTGGTAGGCAGCTGACTCCAAAGTGTACCGGGATCCCACCTCGGCCTTATAAAAGATGAAGGGCTTAAGTTTGGGGTTCTTCTGGGCATCCAGACCGTTAATTTTCTTCTTCTATGAGGCAAAACAGATTATTAAATAACACAGGTTTTAAGAGGAAGAAAACCAGCATGTCACAGTGGTCCCAGACGTTAAGGTTATCATTGTGGTATGGTATTTTAAGGGATGACAAACAATCATGTCTTCTCTTCAATAGCCTCCCTACCTTCCCCCAAAATTAAAAATTAATTGCTGAATAGATGAAGTCAGATAGACATGAAAATGTCAATGCTATGGTTTTAAAAGATTAGAGAATTTTTAGAGAATAATTTTAGATATGGAAGTTCAGTGACTCTGTAGGATAACCACTGGGCTGTGAACTACAAGAACAGCAGTTCGAGCCCACTAGCCACTTTGCAGGAGAAAGATGAGGCTTTCTATTCCCGCAAAGATTTACAGCTTCAGAAACCCTATAAGGAGTTGCTATAAGTTGGAACTGACATTACAGCACTTTACAACAAGTTTTAGATTTGATAATATGGCTTTGATCTGCTGCCAAAGTCTTACCATAACCCCCATCAAGGAAAATGATGACTCGTTTCTAGACTAAGTTTGCAGCATAGACACAGTGACTCCAACTGCTACCTCATACCTGCCAACACTCTAACAGGCATATTTTGGGCACTGACACAAATGTACTACCAGCCACATCGAAAGCAAAAACAGGACCATTTTGTAGCCAAACCTACGGCAGGTGAGACCAGAGAAAAGGACTACTTGCATGTGCTCAGCTCTTTCTTTGCCTAACAATGTGTGGAGTCTCTACTCCTTTCCTGAAATGGAGCATGAAATCAAAGAGGAGGGAGGACATATATTCTGCCTAATACTTCCTGAAATGGATCTTTCAGTAGGTCTCTATAATGTTCTCAAATTATATAGTGTATGTTGTTGTTGCTATTGTTGTTGTTGTTATTAGGTGCCATCGAGTTGGTGCCAACTCATAGCAACCTTATGCACAACAGAACAAAACACTGCCCAGTCCTGGGCCAACCTCACAATTGTTGCTATGCCTGGGTCCCTTGCTGCTGCCACTGTGCCAATCCATCATGTTGGGGGTTCTTCCTCTTTTTCTCCACCCTTTACTAAACATAATATCCTTCTCCAGGGACTGGCCTCTCCTGATAGTATGTCTGAAGTATGAGAGATGAAGTCTGGCCATCCTAGCTCCCAAGGACTTTTCTAACTATACTTCTTCCAACATAGATCTGTTTATTCTTTTGACCTTTCAATACTTTCAGGACTATAAATATTCTCCTCCAACACTATAACTCAAATGCATAAGGTCTTCTAACGTCTTCCTTATTTACTGTCCAACTTTCACATGCATATGAGGTTATTGAAAATACCATGACTTGGGTCAGGTGCACCTTAGTCCTCAAACTGACATCTTTGCTGTTAAACAATTTAAAGAGGTCTTGTGTTGCAGATTTGCCTAATGAAATACGTCGTTTGATTTCTTGAATGATGCTTCCATGAGTGTTGATGGCTGATCTGAGCCACATGAAGTCTTTGACTACTTCAATCTTTTCTTCATTTATCTTGATAAATGGTCCAGTGGTGACGATTTTTGTTTTCTTTACATTGAGATGCAACCTATACTGAAGGCTGTGGTCTTCGATCTTCATGAATAAGTATTTTAAGTCCTTTTTTGCTTTCAGCAAGCAAGGTTGTATCATTATCATATCACAAGTTGTTAATGAGTCTTCCTTCAACCCTAATGCCACATTTTTCTTCATATAATCCAGTTTTTCAAATTATTTGTTCAGTATACAAATTAAATAAGTATGGTGAAAGAATACAATGCTGGCACACACCTTTCCCAATTTTAAACCATTCAATGTTCCCTTGTTCTGTTTGAACAATTGCCTCTTGGTCTATGTACAGGTTCCTCAGGAGCACAATTAAGTGTTCCGGAATACTCATACTTTGCAATGTTGTCCATAGCTTGTCATGATCCACACAAAAAAGCTCAAGTAAACATCTTTCTGGTATTCTCTGTTTTCAGCCAAGATCCATCTGGCATCCGCAATGATATCCCTTGTGCTACATTCTCTTCTGAATCTGGCTTAAACCACTGCAAGTTCTTTGTCAATGTATGGTTGCAGCTGTTTTTGTATTATCTTTAATATAACTTTACCCACATGGAATATCAATCATACTGTACAATGATTTCAGCATTCCATTGGGTCACCTTTCTTTGGAATGGGCACAAATACGGATCTCTTCCAGTCAGTTGACCAGGTAGTTGTACTCCAAATTTTTTGGCATAGATGATGAAGTGCCTCCAGTGCTGCATCAGTTTACTGAAAGATTTCAAATTGTATTCCATCTATTCCTGGTGCCTTGTTCTTTGCCCATGATTTCAATGCATCTTGGACTTCTTCCTTAAGGATCATTGGCTCTTAATCATATGCTACTTCTTGAAATGGCTGAATATCATCCATTTCTTCTTGGTACAGAAATTATGTATTCCTTCCATCTTCTTTTCATGCTTTCTGTGTCATTCAATCGTTTGCCCATAGAATCCTTCAATACTTCAAGTTGAGGTTTTAATTTTTTCTTCAGTTCCTCCAGCCTGAGAAATGTTGAGCGTGTTCTTCCCTTTTGCACATTTCATTATAATATTTGCCTTTGTCTTCTCCAGCGGACCTTTGAAATTTTCTGTTCAGCTCATGTACTTCCTCACTTCATCCATTTTCTTTAGCAGCTCTACACTGGAGAGCAAGTTTCAGAGTCTCTTCTGGCATCCTTTTGCTCTCTTCCTTTTTTCTTGTCTTCTTAATGACCTTTGGCTTTCTTCCTGTATGATGTTCTTGATGTCCTCCCACAACTCTTCAGTCTTTAGTGTCTAAAGCATCAAATCAGATCTTGAAATGATCTCTACATTCTGGTGGGATATATTCAAAGTCACATTTTGGCTCCATGAACTTGTTTTCATTTTCTTCAGCTTCAGCATGAACTTGCATATGAGCAATTGAAGGTCTGTTCCACAGACTTCCCTGGCCTTGTTTTGGCTGATGATGTGGAACTTTTCCACTGTCTATTTCCACAAATGTTGTTTATGTTGTTTAAAAAAGGTACTTGCAATGAACAAGTCACTGGTCTTGCAAAATTCTATCATGTGATCTTCAGCATCATTTCTATCACCAAAGTCATATTTTCCAACCACTGATCTCTCCTGTTTGTTTCCAACATTTGCATTGCAATTGTAATCACTAGTAATTATCAATACATCTTGATTGCATGTTTGATCAATTTCAGACTGAAGAAGTTGGTAAGATTCTTCAATTTCATCATCACTAGCTTTAGTGACTGGTGTATAAATTTGAATCATAGTGGCCTTCCTTATAGGCATATGGATATTATCCTATAACAGACAGCATTGTACTTCAAGATAGATCTTGATATGTTCTTTTTGATGATGAATGTGACACCATTCCTCTTTGATTTGTCATTCCCAGCATAGCCACCCTGTAAAGGGTTTCCCAAGAGCACCTGGTGAATTTGAATCACCAACCTTATTGCTCAAACCTACCTTGCATTCCAGTGCTTTATCCCACAGTGCCACACCAGGATTACATATATACATAAGGGCCTTCAAAAATTTTGTGGAAAAATGGAATTAAAAGATGATGAAACTTCCCCAAAACTTGTGAAGCCCCTTTATGTGTATGTATACACACACACAAGAGATATACATATGTGCTCGTAAAATAAACTTAGAAATAGAAATGTTAGCCTTTGTGAAGCTCTCCAGCCATTAACCATAAGTCATTACAAAGTTATTTGAAAAATAAATAACTTTAGGAATAGAAACATAAGTATATGGAGAAAGTTAATAACCTTAAAGTTGACTTTGACTAGGCATGCTATGATAAAAGAAAATATAAGATATATTTAATATGGAAATAATAAAGATTAGAGCAGAAATAAAGGAAAAAAGAAAACCAATAGAAAGAATCAACAAGACTAGAACTTCATTATTTGAAAGGATTAAAAAAAAACTGACAAACTTCTGGCAAATTTAATAAAGGAAAAAGGGATAAGACACAACTAATATGAATAAATATTAAATTGGTGACATCACAACAGAACCAACTGAAATAAAAAGGCTAATAAGAGAATGCAATGAAGAACTGTACTCCAACAAATTTGAAGACCTAGAAGAAATGGACAGTTTTTTAGAAATGCACTATTTACCTAAATTACCACACACTGAGGTAGAAATTTAAACAAATCTACAACAAAAGGAGAAACTGAATAGGTCATTTAAAAAATAAAAAAACTCTACCCCCCAAAAAGTCCTGGTCCATATTCTATCAAACATTAAGAAAAGAACTGATACTGATTTTATTCAAACTATTCCAGAATATAGAAAAGGATGGAACATTCCCAAGTTCATTTTATGAACTGATACCAAAACCAGGCAAATATATTACTAAAAAGAAAATCATAGACCCGTATTCCTCAAGAACATAGATGCAAACATTTTCAACAAAATCTAAATGAATATAATGCAGCAATATTATCAAATAAAATAATACATCATGACCCAGTGGGCTTCATCCCAGGCAAGGATAATTCCACATTAGAAAAGCAATCAACTCAATCCATCACATAAATGAAACAAATAAAAATAGCCATATGATTATATCAACGGATGTAGAAAAGGTATTTGACAAAGTCCAGTACCCATTCCTAATAAAAACACTCAACAAAGTAAGAATAGGAGGGAAAATTCTTCAACATAATACAGGACATGTCCCAGTGTGGCACTGTGGGTTAATGCGCCAGACTGAAAAGCCATTTCAACTGCAAGGCTGGCGCTTCAAGCTCACCAACTGCTCCTCGGAAACCCTATACAGTGTCTCTATGGGTTGGAACCGACTCAACAGCACTTCACAACAACAACAGTACAAAATCAATGAGCCCTGGCAGTGTCGTGGATTGGGCTGCTAACCACACGTTCAGCAGTTTGTATCCACCAGCCTCTCTATTGGAAAAGATAAGGCTTTCTACTACTGTAAAGATTTACAGCTTTGGAAACCCTATACAGCATCGCTATAAGTCAGAATGGACTCCACAGCAGACAGTTGCTGTTGTTGTTAAATGTCGTTAAGTAGATTCCAACCCATAGCGACCCTGTATAGGGTTTCTGAGGAGCAGTTGGTGAGTTTGAACTGCCAACCCTGCAGTTCAAACGGCTTTGCAGTCTGGTGCATTAACCCACAGCACCACACCAGGACTCCTACAGCTGACAATTATTGTTGTTAAGTGCTGTCAAGTCATTTCTGACTCATAGTGACCCTGTGTAAGGTTTCTGAGGAACCGCTGGTGAGCTTGAACCTCTGACCTTGCAGTTCAAAGTGACCTTGCAGTCTAGCACATTTACATGCAGCACCACACCAGGACTCCAGCAGACAGTAGCAGTATACAAAATGGATGGCCAACAGTCTCAATGGAGAGATATGGAAAACATTCCCATTGCAAATGGGAACCAGACAAGAATGTCTTTTATCACCATTCCTACTCAATATTGCAGAGTTCTGGTGTGCTAGGATAAGTACTGGCCTGCTAACCGCAAGGTTGGAAGTTCAATCCCACTAGCACATAGGTTCCTTGCAATAAACTAAATAAGTTCATGCATGGCAACCTATTTCTACATAAAATCTTACAAGACTTGGATGATCCTGTGATATTGACCAAGATAAGAATTTGGGGAGAGGGAGCGTCATTAGCATCTTGGCTTCCTGTTTGGGGACAGAGGATAAAGAACACTGGACAGGAATGCTCACCTTCAGCTGCAGCGATGGTTGACTTTGTCCTTTACCCTTTTCACAGCAGAGATAGAGCTCTCCATTATCAACTGCCAAGAGAACTGGACTTCCTTTTACTTCAGAGGCTGACCTCAAGTGTGAGGGAAATACAGAGAAAACCTCTGGAAAATATAGTCAGAAATATGGGTAAGTCCTCAGAGCAAGAAATGCCCTTCTATCTCCTTGGGATTTTAAGCTTGACATGTAAATTTCTGTCTTTGACTCTATGGTACACGTTCCCTCTTCATCATGTTGGTCTAAGCCTTCTCTTCTTCCTGAATCTGGATTTTTCCTTCTTGCTAATGCCAGTCCTTCCAGAAAACCTCCCCTCAGATCTGTTACATACCCCACATCCTATTCCCAATGGTCTCTGGGGTTATTCCCCCCTATTGCCTACCAGTTATAGGACTGAAAAAGTGAACAGTATAGAACTAACCCCATTTCGAGCTTACTGATGACCCTGGCTAGGTTGGAACAAAAAAATATAGCCAATACTAAGAGTCACCTGGTTTTACGTAGCTTTTTTTTGGAACTGCTTTGAGGACTCCACAGTCTACAACCAGGACTTTCTGATCCAAATCACTAATACAGAACAGCTCCGGGTGTCTGACCTTCGTATTTGGACCTAGATCAATGTAAGCAGATGTTAACACTTCACTTTGAAATGGAAGACTCAGCTCTTTTCTACCCCACATCCCAGTCCCAGCTCAAGCTCTCCACCTGCCTGCAGGCTAAGGAAATGGCAGCTTGCTGAATGTTCTACTCTCAGGGATTTTACCTTGCTTGGGGCAGGTACTCTAGCATTATGTGTAAGCGAACAAGTTCCAGATTTTGACATCCAAACTGTCACTTACTGCTTTAGGACCTATAAGTTAATAGCTCTTTCTAGGAATAAGGAAGAGTCAGACCACTTCTGAGATATTAGCCACTAAAATATGAATATTTTCTAGGCCATTAAGCTTTATGAATAGCAGAGGAACATTGTCTGATAGACAGCTGAGCTCCTCAGATTAGAAGTCATTCAAAATACCACTGGGGAAAAAGCTGCCTCCACAAAATAGAATCCATCTTAATGATGTATATACTACCAAGTTTTCAGAACTGGCTGATGAGACACGACCCAAAATGAGAACAAAAGCTACAAATATCAATTAATAATTGGAACATGGAATGTATGAAATATGAGTCTAAGAAAATTGGAAGTCATCAAAAATTAAATGGAACACATAAAGATCAATAACCTAATCCTAACCTATGGTATTTTCAATAGTCTCATATGCATGTGAAAGTTGGACAGTGAATAAGGAAGATAGTAGAAGAATTGATGCCTTTGAGGTATGGTGTTGGGTGGATATAATAAAAGTATCATGGACTGCCAAAAAAAACACAAACAAATCTGTCTTGGAAGAAGTACAACCAGACTGCTCCTTGGAAACCAGGATGGCCAGACTTAGGTCTCTCATACTTCAGACATATTGTCAGGTGAGACCAGTCACTGGAGAAGATGATGTTTGGTCAAATGGAGGGTTGGAGAAAGAGCGGAAGACCCCCAAGGAGATGGATTGACTTAGTGCTTCAGAGTCCACGCTGGAAAAGTGGTGAATCATCAATACTCTAGTGAGATTCTAGAAAGGCTTACGAGGTAGGCTGTGAGAAAGGCTCTGACTCAGGATGTGGGGATCTTAAGGACTCAGAGATGTGGGTTTCTCTGAGTGCCCCCTACTGGCTAAGGTTCTGTTTATTAATGCCATGAGGAGATCTGGGTTACCAACCTCTTGGCAATGGTTATAAAAAGCATCCAGAGGTTTCCTAGGTTCAAAATCTTTTTTTACTCTGTGCTGCTCACCAGATATGTGCCATCTGTTCCTCTCTGGAAAGGTAGAGGCCGCCTTGAGATCATATTTCTTTCACATTCTCCCTAATGGGATTTGATTATACCAAAGGAAAAGCCTCAGTCCCACCCCAACACCTTAAGTGTCGCTTAAGAGGGGCCAGCAACAGGCACCATCCCCCACCTCCTATGCCACACCCACCACTTTACCCAGGACCTCACCTGAGTGGGTAGAATTCATAAAGGTGAGGCTCAGGTCTGGCTCCAGGGAAATTCCTGCTGAGTCTGTAGTGACAGACAGTGAGGTTAGCACAAGAATGGCATTCCCCATAGATTTAGGAGCATCAGGGGCCATTTAATTCCTTACTTCTTTTTTATGTGTACTGAGAAACACTGGGGCTTAGTGAGATCATTAATAGCTCCCTCCTGGTATGGGGCTGTGGGCTAATGTGTCAGACTGTGAAGTCGTTTGAACTTCAAGGTCAGTGGTTCAAACTCACCAGCTGCTCATTTGAAACCCTATACAGGGTCGCTATGGGTCGGAATCGACTCAATGGCACTTAACAACAACATTTAAAAAAAAAAATGTTGGGAAATGGGGAAATAGAATGAACTCAAAGTCTTAATACACATAATCCCTGTTGTTGTTAAATGCCATAGAGTCAGTTCCAACTCACAGCGACCCTATATAGGATTTCTTAGGTGCGGCTGGTGAGCTTGAACCACCAACTTTGCGGTTCAAACGACTTTGCAGTCCAGCACATTAAACCACAGTGCCACACCAGGACCCCTAGAGAATATAATCCCTAGAAACTTTATTTACTATAAGCATATGCATTGTGTTAATTCAGTGGACATACTATACATTGTCCACATGTAGTTTGGAAAGAATATGAAGGATTCTACCAGATGAAACACCAAGTTTTGGAAATGCCTGAATGAAACCCTCCAAATAATGTTTGCATATCTACAGCATAGCATACATAAAGAAGAAGACCCAAGAATTGTGCTCTGATATAAAGATTCTGGAGTCCTAATGTGGTGCTGGGAAATAAAGTACTGGACCACAAAGTCAGTTTGAACCACAAAGTCTGTGGTTCAAGCTCACCAAACGCTCACGGAAACCCTCTACTGGGTCACTATGAGTCGAAACCGACTCGATGGCACTTAACAACAACATAAAGTTTCTACCTAGTTCTGGTTTGGGGACCACCTAGCTGCCTCTTGGAGTCCTGGTGTGGCACTATGGGTTAATGCGCTGGACTGCAAAGCTGTTTGAACTGCAAGGTTGGCGGCTCAAGCTCACCAGCTGCTCCTCGGAAACCCTCTACAGGGTCACTGTGAGTCGGAATCCACTGGAAGGCACTTAACAACAGCTGCATCTTGGGCTCATTTTCCCCTCCAGCTGTGGTAGTCTATGGTTCTAAGACGGAGGTGCAGGGGCCAGGGGCCTGTGGGGTGGGGTGAGCTCCCACAGGCACAGCTCAGACAGAAGACTCCCAAGCACTGTGCTGAAAAGCAGGAGGAAGTCCTGCCCTTCTAGGTGCATTCCACCAAGAAGCAGAGGCAGAATCAGGATAGGGTCTCAACATCACCACTTGGGAGTTCTTTGAGGGTGGGTTAGGAGTTCTTTGAGGGTGGGCAATGATAGTACCTGCTGCCTGTGTGCTCCCAGTGTCTATTCCCCAGTACTCAAGGGCAGGAGTCTGGCGGCTACCACACAGTCATGTTTCAGGAGCACAACTGGTTCCAAAGCTCTTCTCTGTTGTGGCTGTTATTAGATCCACACCAGGACATGACCACCGTGTGCCATTTAAAGGCTCAGGGGTGTGACCTCTAGCATTTTACAGACCCCTCTTTCACAGCCCATACATTAGACATATGTCTGGATCACAGCCTCCTTTTACTATCCCTCTTGAGCCAATAATATCCAGGTGCCTTCTTCCAGCCCAGCTTCAGAGAGTTCTTTCCACTAAAGGGCTTCTTCCTCTGCCTGGGCAGGCTAGTTGAGAGATGCATTTGGAAAATTTTAAACCATCAAATTGGTGGGTCAAGACTTCAAGCCCCAAATCTTTGAGTCGCATGATCTGTTTCCCTGGCACCTGATGCCCCGGCATCCAAGCTTTATTTTCTCTTGTAGGACTTCTCTTATGTAATTCATTTACCAGGAAAGTTCTCCAAGCTCATTTATTGTGTAATCTCAACTAGAAAGACCTGGGTCTGTGCAAGGCATCTAGCAAAGCCTGCTCTAGGAATGTCTTCAGATGCTGATATGAATTTTTACAAGACTCACCTTCTGAGCAGCCCTGGGGTTCATCTTTTTCCCATTCTTGAGAGTCCATTTTCACATCTGAGTTCTCCAGAAAGGACATGATTCAGGTTGATAAGATAACTTATACAAGGGTATGGTGAGCCACGGGACCTGCATTAACAGGAAGGGTGGCAATTATCATAGCTTCTAGCCCCAAGTAACCTTACACAGTTGGCAAATTTCTGACCTCGGGGTGAATCTGGCCCACTGCCTGTTTTTGCAAACAAAATGTTTGGAGTGAAGAGTCATGCCCTAGTGGATATATTGACTGTGGCTGATGTCAGACAATGACAACAGAGCTGAGAATTCGCCTCAGAGATCATGTAGCTGGTAAAACCTAAAAAGTATCTGGGTCTTCCTAGAAAAAGTTTTCCAGCCCCATGTTATAGTCTAATCTTTTCTTAATAAAGGCAGTTTCTTTGCAGCCTCTTGTCATTTAAAAAAAAAAAAAAAAGGAGGTTCCAAAAGTCCCAGGAGGCTCCACTCCTCCCGTCTTGGAGTAGGTCTGTCTCATTCCCTTCATTGGGACATTGGAGGAGAGATATTTATAAGTACCTTCCAATCCTGCACATCACATCTTGGTTCACAAATCACTTTCTTTGACATAAGCTCAGGACAACACAGTGAGGAAATGGGGCAAGATACGTCATTTCCACTTTACAGACAAAAACCTGAAGTGAAGGGATTTTTCAAGGGTCATATCCTTGCAGAGCTGGGTATTTTGTACGAATAGAGTAAAAGAGAGAAAACTAAACTGCTTTACAGAGAAAATAATAAAATGCCAAGGAAGGGCTCCAGGGTTTGGCAGTAAGGACAATGAGCAGAAGGGAGAAAGGCCATCAGCAAATTCTGGGCAATGGGTAGAAATGATGGATCTTTAAGGCAGGGATATCTAATGCTCATATTTGATTTTAAGTTGTTTGGGTTGTATCTGCAGAATCCACAAAACATAGCTGCCTTTGTAGTTGGGGGGCAAACCAAGGGATGCAGAGAACTGGGGGCCACTGAGAAAACAGAGAATTCAGTACCACAGGGCCTGAGAACAAGAGATGCCAGGAAGAAATCTAATCAGATACTGTTGAGGCTTCTGGAGGGCAGAATAGCACCCACAAGTCAGAGCTGCCTTTCAGAATTCTCCAACTATATCGAGATAACTGAGGGCAGTGGTTGTTCTGTTATAGAATTTAGCCCTCCACGTGGGAAACCCCTGGTGTGGGGCTATAGGATAAGCACTGGACTGGTAACTACAAAATCAGCAGCTCAAATACACTAGTCACTCCTTTGAAGCCCTCTACAGCATTGCTATGAGTTGAAACCAACGTGAAGGCACTTAACGACAACCCTAACAACACATAGGTGGCCCAGGGTCAATTCCCAGCCAGTGCAACTCATGAGGAGTCACCATCCTTCTGCCAATGAAACCTTGCAGAGTTCAGCAGAACTTCCAGGTTACAATGTGCTGGGAAGAAAGATTTGGCTATCTACTCCTGAAAATCAGCCAATGAAAACTCTCTGACCCGCAATGTATCAACCCTGTTGCATATGGGAGATTCCATGAGTCAAGGGCAAACACAATGACAACTAACAGCAATAAATCAAGATATTTACAGGTGACTTCCACAGAGTTCCAGAAAAAAAACACTGCAATCAGACATATGAGATCCACCTAAGAATAAAATTTCTTTCAAAACATTGATTTTTCCTAGACTTTACGATCAGTCTTCCGGGTCCTCAGAAAGATGCTAGCATCTTTATCAGGGTCTGCAGATGTCCTAAGCCCTCTAGCAGTGCACTGTTTATTGAAAAAAGTCCTCCAGGGTGACATCAGGCTGCTGTTAGGGCTAAGAGCAAGAAGGTCTGGACAGGTTTTAGGAACGACATTTAGAAATTCAGGAAATCCACAGAAGAGCATGCCTCTAGTTGGGCTAGGAAAACTAGGAAAAAGCAAGGAAGGTGGCCCAAGGATGCTCTACATCCCCATCAGTGTCAGTGGGCCTCTTAAGCAAGGAGTAAGGCTCACTTACCTGTGGATTTCTGGCTACCTTCCTGTGGTCTGTTCCTCTGTCTTCAGATCCAGGAGCTCTCTAGGCCTTCTCTTTTTAAATTCTCTGACCAAATAAGGAGCAGCAAGGCTTGTTTCTTATATGGAGTAATCAGGTTGGGATTATATGCAAATGCAAAGTAATACTCATTAACTGAGCCAATAACATCTTAGGTTATCAGTTGCCACTCATTGCTTGTCATCTTCCGCACTCAGGCTATTAACAAATTTTTGCAGAGTTGTGTCACTCTGCTAAGGACTGTGCCACATTCATTTGGCAGGTTTCAGGGTGCCTGAGCTAGATTATGTGACTGGCAGTCAGTCTGACAATGAAGGCGCAGGAAACAGATATGACAGTGTCTGTCATTACAGTGTCTGGCTCCAAGTCATGGCATGACTTGGAGGTTCAGAAAAGTACTCTATTTTCATGTTGGTTCTTTCCCACAGTCCTACAGTTGATTCAAGAGGAGCCTTTGTGTCCTGCAGAATCATATTAGGCTTTCATATCTCCTTCTAGAAGTACTTCCAGACATTGGTAACACCACCTTCTACCTCTTCTCTGTCCTCCTTTTCTTCAATGTTGACCTTCAAAGCACCGCCAAAAACCTACCAAGCAAGCTTCTCTCCACAGCTCATGGACTGTTTACTTATATTACATTTTTGCATTACATTTCTTCTCATCACTTCTTATGCTGGTTTATAATACCAAAAACAGATGATCAACTCAGAGGAAAATTCACATAACTCATTGACATGTTGTTGTTGTTGTTAAGTGCCGTTGAGTCGGTTCCGACCCATAGCGACCCTGTACAGGGTTTCCGAGGGTGTAAATCCTTACGGGAGTAGAAAGTCTCATCTTTCTCCTGCGGAGCGGCTGGTAGTTTCGAACCGCTGACCTTAAGGTTCGCAGCCCGATTTGTAACCACTACGCTAATCACACTACCAGCACAACAACAGTATTGGGACAACAACCACGATAGTCAACCTAGGTGCTCTCCTTATGCTAGGTCTGGGCTCTGTTTCTTTATTCCACCTAATCCTTTACTTATCAGTGGGTACTTCTCAGGGAAAAGGCAGAACAGTTCAGAGACGTTACACAATTTACCCCAAATTATATGCCTAGTTAGAGGCAAGACAGGGTTATAACTCAGGTCTTTCTGAGCATGCTCGAGCTTCACGCTTAAACTTAAAGAATGGGGTCTCATTGTCTAGTCTTTTCCCATGCAGATATACATCATATCAATTAGAGTGCCATGTTTGACCAGTTCTTTTTACAGCATACCCTTTCTACTAAACAATACATTTTGCTTTTTCTAGTCAACAGTATGTCCCAAACATTTCATCAATACTTTCCTATACTTTTTATTGCTACGAGGTATTTCAAAAAATATGTTGTTATTCCCATGGTGACTTTACTAAAAATCCCTGATTTGTCTCTTAAATGGCAAAGACCTGTCTTTGGAGAATTTCTGGATAAACCTCTTGGAGTGGAGATGAGATTACAAAGGAAAAGATCAAGTAAAACCAAAATAAAGTTTGAAATCATAAAATAACCATTAAACTGTCTATGTAGAAGTCTGGATTGAGGTGGCTGCAGGCTCTTCTGTTGTGCTGAGTTTCTGGAATGAACAAGAATGCAACTTTGAGGGCACCACAGTGCTGCTATGTAGGATAGCGAAGATAGAGACCAGTGGAGAGGTACTGTGTTGAAGCAGGTGCAAACGGAACTTGTGGAGAGACCCAGCGGTTTCCATGGGGAAGGGAAAGGAGGGAGAAAAGTTATGTCTGCATTGGGGTTGTGATGAGCCCTGGTGTGGCGCTGTAGGGTAAGCAATGGACTGCTAGCTACAATGATGGTACTTTTAACCCACCTGCCAATCTCAGAAACCTTCTACAGTATTACTATGAGTGGGAACCAACTCGACGGCACACAACAACAACATGTTAGTGGGGTGTGGAGGATACAGTGTAAACTCACTCCTTTGTCGGCATATATAAAATCCCAACACACTTGGCAATCTTTACCAATACTCACATGTGAGCAGTTTTGTGCTGTGGAATCAGTTCCGATTCAGAGGGACCCTGTACAGGGTTTCCGAGGCTGCAGATCTTTATGGGAGTATAAAGTCTCCCATGAAATAGTTGCAAGCAAATGTTATTTATTTACCTGTTTGTGGGAGGTTGCAAAAAAAGCAACCAAAAATATGTGTATTGCATATTGACAGATCATAATTTATCTAATTACCAATTTTGCACATTTGGGGTATTTTTATTGCACACCATTATGTTATGATGTTGTGCTAAATGTACAGGGATATAAACCTTTGCATATCATTGTTTATTTCTCTAGGATCAAGTTCTAGAAGAGTAATTGCTACATCCAAGAATATATGTATTATATTTTATATATCCTCTTATGTTTTCATTTTACAGTTTTGTGGGGGTTTTTGTTTTTGTTTTTTTAACTTTTTATTGGAAATTGAGTAAAGGTTTGAAGAGTAGATCATCAGTTTTACATTGAACGAATCATATATTTTTCTTCATTGCATGTTTGTAATCTTCTCCATGCACTAACAGTTAATAGCATTGACCACTATTCATTTAACTATTGTGTTCCTCCCTGTGTCTCCTGTTACCTTCATCTTTCCACCTCAAACATCCCTCTTGTTGTATATTGTCTGCCCTGTCACCTGTATCAACATGTGTCTGCCCTCTAGTCCATGAATAATTTTCCCTACCCCTCAGCCCCCTCATCCCTGTAACCATCATAGATTTTTTTTGACCAATTTATAATTCACGGTTTCAAAGTGAAGGCAGTACTAGAGAGAGAACTTCATAGTAATAAATGTCTACATGATAAATATGGAAGATCTCAAATCAACAGCCTAACTTGAAAAGTCTAGGAACTAGGAAGAGAAGAGCACAATAAGCCAAAACCTATCAGAAGAAAGTAAATAACAAAGATCAGAGAAGGAATCAAAACAATAAAAAAACAGAAAAACAATAGATATAATCAATGA